AGCAAAAGAAAAATACAGAACGAAACTTCTTATTGGTGGGTTGTAAGTTTGGCTCTGAGCTTCCTAGTAGCAAATGCAATAGGAAACCTATCTAGACTATGTATCTGTTGACCTTTGTCACATGAGGGTAAACAATGTTTTTCATTTGAAGTTTGGCAGGTATTTCAGCCTTCAGCAAGGTTTGCATCCTAACCAGCTTTTGATGACAGGGATGATGATGACAGGGAAAACCTCTAACACGTAGTTCTATGGTGAGCTCCATGAGGAGGAGGGTCCTGTCTCCCAGATCCATTAATAGAATGGAGACAGAAAAATTTACCAAGGGGCCATCCTGTGTGTACAGGAAAGAGGACCTGCAGGGGAGTAGGTCCTATTCACCCCCACAAGAGACAACAGGCCTCGTAGGCTTGGCTCAGGCCCCCACCCAGACAAGCAGTTCTCGTATTTGATGTTCTAAGTGACTTGGCTGGAAGTTGTGGATCTCCAGTCACACTTGATTTTGGAAATATAATCTGCAAGACTGTTTGAAGCCAGGCATTAAATAAACAAAATTGCACATTTGTGGTAAAAGGGTTTTTTATCACGCACTTATGCTAAGCCAGAGGCTTTAAGTATATTACCTTATTTAATCACTACAATAAATCTATGAAGTAGATATTTTAACCCCTTCTTGCAGACTTGAAAGCTGACTGGGGGACTGGAAGGTGCTTTGTGCAGGTTGCACACGGCTCTCACAGGATCAGCTGCCTCAGGCCCATGGTCATGCCCAGTCCACTCTGCCCGGCCTCCAGCAGGCAGTGTCTGAGCAGGGAGACCTGAGGATGTGGATACTCAAAGGCATTGGTTCATCATCTTTTAGGTCTTAGGGACACTTAAGAATGTGAATGAACCTCCCTTAAATAAGTACACACAACCCACCAGAACCCACCCCAAAATAATAGAATTTCAGGGAGGCCATCACCCCTTCAAGCTCATGGTGGACTCTGGCTTGTTGATAACCTGCTCCCCAAGGAAACTGTTTCCTTCAGGGCCAGTCAAACTCACATCTGAACTTTGGTTGTCCTGTCTTTATTTTTTTTAAGATTTATTTTTATTTATTTATGCATATAAGAACTGGGGTAGGGCCTCCCCGGTGGTGCAGCGGTTGAGCGCTGGGTTGCGAAGCTGCCCGCGGCCTCTGCGGCGCCGGTTCGATCCCCGGCTGCTCCCCGGCCACTGGAGGAGGGTCCCACATGGCGCGCAGACCTCTCCTGCCGCCCGCTGCTCCCCTCAGCAGTGTACTTCGGTCCTTCTGCCTGCTCTGCTCCCCACTCTGGCTCTGGTGAATTCTCTCACCCTCCCACGCTTCTGACTGTACCCAGTGCATGTATAAACAAAACAAACAAACAAACAAACAAACAAACAAACAAACAAACAAATAAATAAATAAATAAAACATGCCTCTATTAAAAAAAAAAAAAAGAACTGGGGTATAGGCCAGGGCAGGGGACTGGGGGCGGTGAGAGGATTCATCAGAGACAGAGTGGGGAGCAGAATAGGTGGATCTACTGAAATGCACTGCTGAGGGGAGCAGCAGGCAAACAGGAGAGGTCTGCTGCACCTGTGGATCACTCCCTGGCTGGGGATCAAACTCATGCTGTAGTGGCTCTGGTAGCTTCACAGTGCTGAGATTTAACCCCTTGCACCACCAGTGAGGCCTCTGCCCCTGTCTTTATCTCTGAGTCCAAATCACCAGACTGGCTGTGCTTGGCTCCAATAATGAAAATTGATGTGTTGTCTAAAACTTAGGCCTGTGTCTGACTCTAGAATATGAGGTGGGGCCATCTTATTGACCTAGTCGATTTTTATATAAAGAATAAATAACTCCACCTTATGTGTATGCCCCTAGAAAGTCCTCTAGGGGGGAAAAAAAAAAACTACAAAGAAAACTCTAATGTATAATTTTGCATAATAGGTCAATTATAGATTTCCCAAATCTCAGTAATCTAGCTTTTAAAGCGTCTTTGAATAATTGCTTTTTCAGATTTGAATTTGATAACCCTCTAAAAGAAGGTGGAATAATTTCAAAGGAAATTTTTTATTCTTATGATAAGTATTAAATAGTTCAAAGCTGCCTTCATGCACATTAATTGATTTTCATCTCAGTGAACATATATTGAGCACCTACTGTTTACTCAGCACAGCTACAACACATGTCACACACAACCTCATTACATCCGCCAGCCCCAGCCACCCCATGAGGGAGACATGGCCATGACCATGACCCCCGTTTCACAGAAGAGGACACTGAGAACCTGCTCGAGGTTAAACTGAGGTGGGGTGTGGCCGAGCCGGAACTGAAACTTTGTTCTAGACTCTAACCAATGTGTCAATCAATGCCTCAGATGCAGGTCTGGGATAAGAACTTGCTGCACATAATGCAAATTCCAAGACAGCAGTCCCATGAGTAAATGTTAGGGCCATTTGTATAATTCATTGGGTGATTTCACCCTCGCTGATATTCAGGGATCACTCATGGGTCTCCTTCACTCCTAACCAACCCCCTCACCCCCAGCCTCATCACCTGAACTTGGTGCCATCTTCAGTGAGCCCTTCAAGGGCAGTGAGTCTGTGAATAAGAGTCAGGGAGATTGGGGCCATCGCACTAGGGACTGGCCCTACATTCATTGTCACGGCAACAGCTTCTTGATGTGGCCTCCGACAAAATGACTGGGCAGGTGAGCAAACAGGAGGAATCAAAGATGACTCAGAATATCCCTGCAAGGATGAGCAGTAGGGTGACTCACTCAGTTGTTGGGAAGGGGCAGGAGCTTTGGGTGATGGTCTTGGGCCCCTGGATTGCTGGGATGACCTCTCAGTCACTGCTGTGTGCTGGGGGGTGGGGGGGAGTCTTGAATGGCACAAAGCAGTGTCCAGTGACTGGGGAATCTGTGTTGTCCTATGAAGCCACGTTGTATGGTGACCTATCCACAGTGTTTTTCAAACTTCCCTCATGGCCCATGACTGTGGCATGAAATCACTTTGGGGGCTGCCAGCAGGATTTTATTAATAAGGTAGAAGAGAAATGGACTAACAGCACATTTTGAGAGTGCATCATACTTAGCGTCAGTCTTATTTGCCATGAAATTTGTTCAAGGAAAACATGAAAAATGTGTGTGGTAGGGGTGGCAGTGGGTGGGTGTGCTCTGGGCCATGATCTAAAATGCATTTTTATTCTGAGTCACAGTTGAAAATGCTTGAAAGCAATGGGTTAGAGAATAATCTTAGAAGTTTCCTTGACCAGTTTCCTTGATCACAGGCACATTAGAATTGAATGGCCATTTGCATTATTCATGCATTTATTCATTACTCATGCAAAGAGCATCTACTAGAGTAGCACTCTCTATGTTCACACCTGTTAGTTGTGAAGGGGAGACATTCTGGGATGAGTGACCTGCTCACTATGGCTGGAGCACCTCCTTAGGCAGTATGGACCAGAAGAGGTGTGTGACAGTGCTACCTCAAACCTGCCCATCTTCAAAGTGGGGAAACCTGTATTTGCAAAACTTCTGTGGTTCAACCAGAGTGAACGATGGACTTGAACTACTGATCTTTTCATTCTCTGTCTCCCCTCACCCTGCCAGTTGACTTACATATTTCACTGTAGACTCATGCTGGTCTATTTGTTCCTAAGTTATTTAGTCATTGACTGTCTTGTTTCTTCAGTTGGTCTTTATGCTAGTATCTGTCTTCTACTTCTTTTTCATCTCCAAAATGGCTAGCACAGTTGGGAAAACAGCAGGAACCACTTATCCACAACTATTCATTCCTCGGGTCCTGGCTAAGACATCCTATCATTCTTCATCTTCTGCCACAGAACATGGATTGTATGGTTTTGTAGTTGTATGTGTATCTCTCTGTCTCTTTGCTTAGACTGTGAGGCCAGAGAGTAAGTGTGCTCTGTCCATCACTGAATCCTCAGCCCCACACACCACACTACACCTGCCCTATTCATTGTCTCTTTGGGAACTGGTACTTCATAGGTATATCAGTTACCACCATAATAATGCCGAGTAACAAACAACCCCACACTCTCAATGTGCTACCAAATCAGCACTTGATTTTGTGGGGCAGTTCTAAGCAGAGGGTTGGTGCTGGACCAGCTCTGTGTGTCTCTCACCCTCCTCAGACCAGCAGAGTAGGTGGGACATGTTTTTCTATGATGGTGGCAAAAGGACAGGAGAGCAAGTTCAAGTGCATGGGCACTTTTCAGGCTTAGGGTCCCATTGTATCCAATGACATACCTTTAACCAAAATAAGTCAGGTGGCCGAACCCAAAATCAATGAGCCAGGAAACTCTATCTGTGAAGTTTAGGGTCTTGAGGGGAGTAGTGACTATTTCTGCTGAAGAATCAACCTGAGAAAGTTCTCTGGCTCTTATTAAATGTTGATGCAATAGAAAGGAAAAGGAAAAATAATTGCATTCCAGGGATTTCCTGTGGGTTTTCAGCATACAACTTACAAAATCCATGGAGACTCTTCTACCTCCTGACACAAAGCCCCATAGAGAAAGCCAGAGCTTTGTCTAACTGATACCAGCCCAGCCTCCCAGAGCGAAATTTATTGAGCGAATGAAGCAAACCCTCAGAAGCGACTGTCAGCAGGGGCTCTTCCTCCCGGGTGCTCAGGGATGTGGTGGCCTCTGGGAGAAGAGTGAGACAGTGACACTGCCCCCCCCCCCCCACCACCACCTGTTGGCATCTCAAGAGGCAGCTCTGGGTGGAGAGAATCCCTGCCAGAACCCAGGATTCCTCTTTGTGTCCTTGGGAAATGTCAATCAGCTTTGAGGAAACTAACAGATACCGTTTCTAAAAGGAGACCAGAGCTGGGTTCTCAATTCGGCTTTGTGATACCTACTCTTTGTGATACCGATAGAGGTCATGTGAAGTTTTGTGCCCCCCTTTTGGATAGCTGGAAAATAAAAATCTTATCTTTTCATTTTCTCTTCCTCCCGACTGCAGGAGTGCTGTGCCTGCCTGACAGCCTGAATCTTCACAGAGACCCACAGCGCTCAAGCAAGCCGGGAGAACTGCCCATGTTCAGCCAGTCTGAGTTGAGGACCATCGAGCAGTCCCTGCTGGCCACCCGCGTGGGCAGCATCGCAGAACTGAGTAAGTGGACACTGGGCCCCTGGCCCTCTCTGCATCCAGTGTGGCACCTTTCCCCAGAGAGCTGCTTTGTAACCAGCCAGGTGACACCTTTTATTGAGCATCTACTGTGTGCTCAACACAGTGCTGATGATGGCATGGGGGAGGCGAACTCTGGGTTGGGCAGACCTGGTGAATTTCCTGCCTCTGTCACTGGTGGGTCAAGTTCCTAACCCCTAACCGTATCTAAGCCTCAGTTTCCTCTCCTATAAAACAGAGAAAAATAATAGTACCTAGTAGTTTCGGTGACTCAACAAGCTCTTGCTCATGAAGGGGTTGGCCACTGTGGATGGAGCATGGTGAATACATTGTGAATGGTTACTGTTCACTGTTTACTGTGTTGATTTCCACAATGGTATCCAAATATCGGACATGTCCCCTCAGTTTAGAATCTTTCACTGGCTCCCATCTAACCCACAAGAAAAACCAAAACCCTCAGAAGTACTTCTAGAATGCTCCAGCTATGTCCCTCAGACATCTTTTTCCCCACTTTGCCAGGACCCACTGACCTTCGGCCACCCTGGCCCTCTTGTTCTGTGACCATAGCAGGCATACCACAGGACCTTTGCACATACTGCTGCTTCTTCCTGGACACTTTCTCCAGATACCCACATGTCTTTCTCTCTCACTATCTTTAAGTCTCACCCAAATGTTACATTCTCAGCGAGGTTTACCCTGATCTCCCTGTTTAAAATTATACCACCCTGATGACCTATATGCCCCTTCACTGTTTCACCTTTCTCCACTACAATTATCTTGTGACATCTTCAATATAATTTTTATTTTTTGATATCAGCTTCATTAGATATAATTCATCCATAGTTCTTAGACTGTTCACCAAGTTGTCCAGCCATAACCACAATCAATTTTAAAACACTTTCGTCACAAGAAGAAACCCAACAACCATTAATAATAGTCCCCCTTCCCCAGTCATAATCTTTTACTCATTTATTTTTTATAAATTATCTATCTCTTCCTACTCTCAATAGAATATATTTTCACAGAGTAGCGATATTTATTTTGTTCACTGATGTAACCCTCGCATCAAGAATATTGCCTGGTACATGGTAGTAGAAGCTCAGGAAAATGAAGAGAGGGGAGAAGCAGGGAGAGAGGGAGGGAAGCAGGGAGGGAAAGAGCTGGGAGAACAGAGGTATTGTCAAGAAGATCAGGGCATCCCAAGTTTGAACAATTATTTGCTCTGCTTGCACACCCCCTAATTCAGGGCTGTGCTGAGTCTGGCCAACCAGAGGAAAATGAAAATGTATTTACTTGTGATGGAACTAATTGTCCAGTGATTTAGCTGTGTGTAAATTCCTAATGGAACGGGAACATTGATCTCAGAAATGCTACATAATGTTAAAGTGTGAGTTGGTGGGAAGCTCTAGAAAATCCTGAACTATAAAAGGATTCCGGAATCAGAGAGCAGCCAGTTCCTCTTTCCAGGGGAATTCCCTGAACACCCAGGACGGCCCCCTCCTCCCCTCAGCAAGTTGTGTGGTCCTCTGGAAACAAAAATCATTCGCAGCCAATCCAAATCATAGGGGTTCTTATGATCACCAGGAGCTGCTTTCCTGGCACCTGAATTTGGAAATTACATTTCCATTCTCATCAAACCTCTAAAGTCACCAGATGCCTCCAGGCAAAAGGTCTTCTAGCTACCGGTCATTCATGTGCTTCTTTTAAATCAGGGGGGAACCAGAATAATAACATTAAATGCATAAAATGCAGTACGTACATTTACAAAGGAAACCAGTTGTGTTCAGTTTAACTTATTGAAATATTTTAATGTAAATTATGGTATAATAATTCAATGCTTTTTTTCTTACGAGCACATGATAAAACAAGATCTAGCAAGCAGCTCTGATGACCCCATTATTCTGGGGTAGCCATGCATGTGAACGATATTTTAAGATATTTGCAACACTTGGAGCTGGATAAGGAACTGTCTGCATTTTAACAGATCCCTGGGGATTCAGCATTTCCCCTTTGGGAAATGTTACTCTAAGAAGAAATGCCATACATCCTTTGGGACGCTGCAGATTTCCAAGATGTGCTTGTGACCTTGGAAACGTAGAATCTGGCCATAGGGTTGGGTCATGTCTGCATCGGACAATTTGGGAAGAAGCCCCACACCAGGTGGGCCACATTCTCAAAGGCTTGTCCTGGGGTATCATAAGGACCCCTCCTGGAATCTAGCCATTGGGCTGAGTACCTGCTTAATTCCAAAAAAGGATATGCTGAACAAACCTGCACATCACCTAAGCACCTTTATTTCTCTATCAGGGGGGTAAAATGTTTGTAAGGACAATTTGTTCTGTAAATTAAATGCTACTGTTGCTGTTGAGCATTGACTTTCGCAAATGAGTTGCCAGCACACCAGTGGGTACTGCTAATCACAAATGGCCATAGACATTCATTAATTCCGCCCCATAGAATGAGTGCCCGGAAGCACTTTGGTAAGTCCTGTCGGCCCCTGAAGCTAATGAAATAGCCTTCTTTTCTGATCTGTCTGTAATTTAGACTGGCTTGCACTGTGGTCTAAATCAATATAGCCTCACTCTCTCTGTGTACGTAGAGAGCTGTTCTTCATATTCAAAGGTTACTCTGCCAGTGTGGTTTCTAGACACCGCTGTTTTTCCAGCAGAAGTGGGATGGGAAGAATTTATGCCAGCTATCCATCCCTGCTCTTCTTGAATCAGAACTATGTGTGTCCAGGGTCAAAAGCAGAGCCCCTAACCATGGCCTTCTTCATCACCAATAATTATAATAGCAGCAGCTGAGGTTCCCGGGACTAGGGAACTATGAGACATCTACAAGCATTATTTCTAGTGTAAGCATTATCACCCACATAGATGTACAAATAGAGGAAGAGGAGGTTAAACAGCTAATCTAAGATGTGAGCTGAGGGGCTTGTGATTGACTCCTGGCTCCCCAAAGCCCACACTGGGCACCTCGGCACTAGACCATGTTTCCGAAGCGAGAGGCCCAGCAGATGTTTCTACACTTTGCAGATGGAACGGGAGTCCCTCTTGTACGATTAGGATGCCAGCCAGGTCTCTGTTCCTTCCAGCGCTGAGGACTAAATCGGAAATGAGAAAGATACCAAGTAACTGCGGACTCCATCAGGCACATAGATGGAGACCCGACCCCTGCAACCTCCGCCTTGCAAGCCGAGACTTCTCCCTCTAACCCCTACCTGCATCCTCGGGACGTCAGGTGAAAATCCAGAACTGCCTTGGTCAACCAGGATGTCCAAAGCTCTTGCCTTTGTCCAGCCTGTTATGACTTGGGCTAACAATACACCCTCTATTTTTGGAGTACCTACTAAGTACTTTAGTACTTTTGGAGTACCTGCCAAGTACTTTAAATACATTCGAGGCGTTCCCATTCCACAGATGAGATTTTTTTTCTTTCGGTATTCCTCAAACTCTTTTAACCATGGGTTCTTGGAATAGGTAAAAACCATCCTCCTTCTTAGTTATCATTTTGCTGTACATATTTCTTTTTTATGGGTTTTATGTTTTCATATTTGTTTGCTTCTGTTGGAGTTTTTTCCCCCACTACCACCCATGATAGACCTTAATCCTTGCTTCCTACCACCTCCCTCCTCACCTCAGAAAACTTACTCATTTATTAATGTCTACTAGTTTTTTTTTTAATTTTTTTATTTTTTTTTAATTTTATAGAGGTATATTTTATTTATTTATTATTTGTTTGTTTGTTTTTTGTTTATACAAGCACTGGGTACAGTCAGAAGCGCGGGAGGGTGAGAGAATTCACCAGAGCCAGAGCAGGGAGCAGAGCAGACAGAAGGACCGAAGTACACTGCTGAGGGCAGCAGTGGGTGGCAGGAGAGGTCTGCGCGCCATGTGGGACCCTCCTCTGGTGGCCGGGGAGCAGCCGGGGATCGAACCGGCGCCGCAGAGGCTGCGGGCAGCTTCGCAACCCAGGGCTCTACCGCTGCACCACCGGGGAGGCCCTTAATGTCTACTAGTTTTTGGAAATATTTTCTTTGTTGACTCATCTCTAATGCAAATGTCCAATTTTTTATTTTAAAATATTTTATTTTGTTTTTTTATTGACGTACCATTGGTTTACCCGGTTGTTTGTATTTTGGAAGTATAGGATCTCCACCTTCAGGTATAGTCACCTTACAGCACCCACCACCAAAGCACCCATAGTCCTCTACCACTGTCCATCATGCTCTCTCTCTCTCCACCCTCCTCTTCCCCCTCTAGAGAGCTCAGATCTATGGTCAGCTTTCAAGGGTTGTTTTAAAAGTTTGTCTTTGTCCGTAAGTGTTCAATAATTGTCTTGTCATTCTGACTGGCTCCACTACATATAATTTCCTTGAGCTTCCTATTTAGTTGTAAATGGCAACATTTCATTTTCCCTAGAGCTGAAGAGAGTCCTCCATTGTGTGGCTAGACCACATCTTCCTGATCCAACCCTTTATCGGTAGAAGGTGAGAGGAATTCTTAATGAAACTCATTCAACCAGTTAATATTCCACTGAATTGAACTTTGAACTCAGAGACCTAGACCTGAGCCTACATATATCTGAAATATTTGATAAGGCTACTATAAGGGCTCCCCAATTGTCACAAGCTGGGGATTCTTTAACTCTGAGCCATAGGACATTTGTAAGGAGATGCACCAACCATCATAGTTGACTTAGGTTCTGGCAGGTAGTCCAGATCTCCCTCCCTGAACCAGTGAGTAGGTCTGGGGAAAGTGGGCCCACCCAGTCTCCCCCACTGAGGCCGTGGGGGAGGCGGAGGCCCTGGCTTTCTCACTCTTGAGCCAAATCAGCTCTGCATTTGGGCCCAGCCAATCCCATATTTGTGTTCTTTAAGATTTTTGTCTCAGTTCTTCTACCCAGTGACCCAGCCTAGTTCCCATACCCTCAATTAAACCCCATTAGACAGTTGTTACATTTGTTTTCTGTTGTTTAAAAAAAAAAAAAAAGACTTTATCATGAAATACCTCTTCCTGTTATCTTTTAACACTAAAAATGGGAACATGTTATTCTCATTCAATGTGATAATCAAAATGGGGCTATTAATTTATAACTGTGCAGAAAAAGGATTTCTGGATTGTCTCTTCTCAGTGTCACCAGAAAAAAATCCTCTTGTTTCTTGTTTGAAATGCAGACAGAGCATCCTGCCACCCCCAGTCCTTAGGGTGCACCTGTGACCCTCTCAGTTAGCAAAGCAGCCTCTGGAACACCTTGGTATTCTAGAATAATCTATTCCTTCTACCACAGGGCCTTTGCACCTGCTGCTCCTTCTGTCTTAAAATTTCACCCCCGATATTTACAAGGGTCTTCCTTTACTTCATTCAGGCCTCTACTCAAAAGTTTCTTCCATTAACTCATAGTCACCCCCATTTACAGAGAGATTAAATAATTCATCTAAGGTGACCCAGCTGGTTAGTGACAGGCAGTCTGAGTCCTAACCACCACACTACACCAGCCTTCCAGGAATAGGGCCTTAAATGAGACATGGTCTCTGCCTTTGAGGCTTAGTAGGGAAAGTAGACATGACAACATAACTGTGAAACCTGACAAAATTAAGTAAATAATCTATTAGATTTTATTAGCAGGTGTTACAAGTATACACGGACAGCTTAGCACATCTAACTGGCATCTGTAGAGAGCAGCATCCTTGGTGGGCATAGAGCAGGGGTGGGGAGACAGTTCAGGAAGGTTCCATGGAAGAAGTGGCATTTGATCACAGCCTTGTAGGTATTCAGTGTTTGGGAAGAAGATGGAAAAGGCACTCCAATATGGGAAAACAAAAGCAGGGAACTGGAAGTGCAAGAGAGCAGGGTGATGCTCAGAGGAGACGGTTAGGACAATCAGGGCCACAGACTTTCCCGCATCTTGGGAATTGGAGGGCTGATCCAGGGACCAGAGAAATGAACCCACTCACCTTCTCTACTCTCTTTTAATTTTTATTGTTTTGAGCTTTTTTTATGGGAGCTTTCAAGAAAGAAGCTAGAAATCTGTGGATACCCCAACCTGCCCTAGATGGAAGGTGCAAGAAAGTAAAAACCACTTTGTTAAGCTTCTTATTCCAGTAATACCAAGTAGCAGATGCCATACTTCAAAATTGGGAGCTATAGAAAAGTTGGAAGGGAATGTCACCCGCAATTCCACTTAGCAGAGAAATCCTTGGTCAACATTTTAGTATTTTTTTTTTCATTCTGGTATTTACCCAGTGCATAGTCTTTTAATAACATAATCCTGATCACACTGTATGCAATTTTAAATTTAGCTTTTTTCCTACTTCCCATTTCAACAAGAGGATATTTTTTCATGTAAACACTTTTAATGATTGCATTCATTTATTATTTTAGCACATGGATGTACCAGAGTTTATTTATCCTTGCTCTTACTTGTAAACATTCTTTCTTTGTCAAATTTTGGACCCTGCAAATAAGATTTGGATGAAAATCCTTGTGCACGAATATTTGACTGCATTTTGGATTCTAACATTGGGAAGCTTCCCAGAAATGGAATTACTGAATTAAGGGTAAGGAGCCTTTGTGAACACCTTGGCTACATAATGCTGGATTGCCTGAAGACACATTTGGAACTGGCCATGGCCTTACTGGACAGACTGAATGGGAGGCTTAGCTCAGCACAGGGTGCAGAACAGGGGTATCAGTCAGATAGACCCAGGCTGGCATCTTGTCTCTGCCTCTTACCAACTTTCACTTTGAGCCCCAGTTTCCTTATCTGTAAAATAGGATCTCACAACCCTGGCATCATGGACATGTCAGGCTCAATTCGTGGTGGGGACTGTCCTGTGCATTGTAGGATGTTTAGCACCAACTCTAACCTCCACCCTGAAGATGCCAGTAGCAGCCCCCTGGATGTGGCAACACAAATGTCTCTAGACAGACATTGCCCAGTGTCTCCAGGAGGCATAGTCACCATGGTTGGGGATCACTGCTGTAAAATTGAAATAATATGACACACATCTAGTAGAACTGTGTGAAGATGAGAAGCAGCAGTGCAAGGGGCCTTGCCACATGCCTGGTGCAGTGCAGGTGCTCAGGAATGGCAGCTTTTCATAAGGTTCCTAGTGGTGGTGACAGGTTTCCCACAGCTGGTTGCTCCAGAACTCCCAGAAGACAAACTAGATCAGCCTGGAGGCCATTTCCTGCTCTGGAAGTTTGAGTCTGGTTCTTGGCCAGGCACAAAGCAGTGTCCTGTCCTCTCCCTCCAGGGGCACAGCCTGTTGAGAAACAGGGTCACTCCTCAGGGCTTTGCTGCAGAAGCCTCTCCCTCCATTCGGTCCTGATGCCTGAATGCAGCTTTCCTCCTGGAGGACAGCGAGGTTAGACATGGGTCAATGATGGGAAGCCCACGTCCTTCCAGCTGCAGTTCCCTGGGGAGGGAGGTTGCCCCTCTCTCTCCCCACCAGCACTGCTTCTCAGACCCTGCCTTCAGTGCAAACTCACTGGAAATCCAAACCCTCTGAAAAGCTCACCCAACAATTTTTGAGAATCCCCAGAGGGCATCTCACGGGTAGATAACCCTTCTTCCTGCCCTGCTGCTGAGTCCTTGACCTGAGTCCAAAGGCACAATTCCTTCCTCAAGGCCTTCAACTGATTAGATGTGGCTCACCCACCTTAGGGAAGGAGGTAACCTGCCTTACTCAAAATCTACTAATTTAAATGTCAGTCACATCTAAAAAAAAAAAAAAAAAAAAAACCTTCACAACAACATCTAGTGTTTGACCCAGGAACTAAGCACCAAAGTCTAGCTCCACAAAAAATTAACCATTGCAGATTACTTAGGTGAGTGTCCCCCAAAGTGTGCAACATACCCCACTGTACAGGTAATGATTTTAGGGGGGATGGAGCAGTGCCTTAAATAAATAACATTGGCATTGGAGTGATTCTTTTAAATTCTAATTGCTTTGAAAAGAAAGGCTCCATTTGATATGAGTCCCTAACACTTCTCTAACACTTGTCAAAATAAAGTAGGACCAAATTCAGCCATAAATTAATTACACGGTTTGTTTTCATCAAATTAACTTTTACAATGACCTTCTGTTTATGGCAAGTGATTCCAATTTTCCATTTATGGTAGTGACATAACATTTCCTTTTTCAATGTATGTGTTTTTTAAAGAATGAATAACAGGCAATTCTAGCCCAGCGCTCTCAATGCTATGATTAGAAAAGGGCAGCGTGACAGCACGAGGGGTGATGGGGGAAATTCTGGTATGGTTTTCTGGAAAAATTAATACAGAAGCTGATATCTGAATGATCAATAGGAATTAGCCTGGAGAAAAGAAGAGAAAGAAAGTTCTGGATAAAGATAATTGCATATGCACCGGGGTCAGAGGCAAGAGACAGTAAATATACTCCGTTCTGGTGACTGCAATTGAGACAGTATTGGCTGCAGCGAGGGCGTGTCTGCAGCGAGGGTGGTGGAAAGCAGACCCCCCCCCCACTACCACCAGGGTTTCCTGTGCCTTGTTAGGAGCTATAGGTTCCAGAAGAGCAGCACTGGAATTATACTAGTAGCCCTCTCTGCTCAAAACAGCACAGATCTGGTAAGCCCTTGACAGTTGCATGGTGCATAAACAAGAAGCTTTCCTGTCTGCTTGAGGGGAGACCTGGAGGTCCCCAGGAACCTCCCCAGTTAAATGAGGACTATAATCTGTAGGACTATAATCTGTAGGATTCTTGCAGCTCATCCACTTTGAATTCCTGGCTACTTGAAGGATCTAATATCTTACTCTTGTCCACAGGTGACCTGGTGTCCCGAGCCATGCATCACCTGCAGCCCCTCAATGCCAAGCACCACGGCAATGGCACCCCCCTGCACAACAAGCAGGGGGCGCTCTACTGGGAGCCTGAGGCCCTGTACACCCTTTGCTATTTCATGCACTGCCCGCAAATGGAGTGGGAAAATCCCAACGTGGAGCCTTCCAAAGTCAACCTCCAAGTGGAAAGGTAAGTGAGACCTGCTTTCGCCTTGGATGGCCTAAGACTAGTTCCATGGGTGGGAACAGGGTGTCTCCAGGCTGGCATGGGAGTGGGGGAGGTGGGGGATGCAGGGCGTCAGAGCTGCCCCAGTCCTTAGAAATTTGTTGGAGGCCTCCAGATGGAACCTCATGTCCCGAGGCCGTAGCTGAGAACCTGGTGGGGTCTTTGAAATAACTGGGGTCAGAAGAGTGGGTTTGCAGGGTCTGAAAGAGGATGTCGGCAGCTCTGGGTGGCTCCCTTGTGAGGGCAGCTGTGGGGGAAGCCAACCTTTTGGGCGGGGTGTGTCTTGTCTTCATTTCTTCCTGGCTGCCCTGGGGACTCCTGCGGGAACCATAAACAACTGCTCAGGTGGAGTAAGCCTCTGAGGTGGGCAGTGGGTGTGGGCAGGAGACCAGCTCCTGGGGGAAAGGGAGTGGGGCCGGAATCCTCAGGAGAAAGGAAGGAACAGGAGCAGGAGAGAAGGAAGAGAGAGCTTGCTAGGAGAGGAAGCGCCCTCTGACCTGGTTTCTGCTGCAGTTATAACATTACTCTGTGCCTCGGCTTCCCCAGCTGTAAACCTACTGCTGAACTAAGCGGTTCCCTTCTAAGTTGAACTAAGCAGAAAACCCCAGCTTCTCTGAGGATGATGTCCCTCTGGATAATTTCCTTCCCTGGAGGTAGGGTCTCAGAAAGCTTCAGGAGAGGAGCCTATCTGGGGCACTGCCCCCCACTTCCTCCAGCACCAGGTTCCCAGAGCTCAGCACTCCACAGGGTCTCCCCATTAGGTCCCTCGCTACCCTTCTGCCCCCCCACCCAGGCCTTCATACCCAACTGTTGTTGTGATCCTGATTTACCTAAAGAGCAGTTAAGACCCACAGGGCTCTGTGACCCCGACTTCCAGGTTCAAATCCAGTCTCTTCCAATTAAAAATGAGGGGCCTTGGGAAAGTGCATTGACTCTTATGCCTCAGTTTCTTCATCTGCAAAATAAGGCAAGTAAGAGTAATTCCTCCAGAGGACAGTTTGAAGACTGAATGAATTGAACAGCCCCAGCACACGTGCTTGATAAATATGCTTTTATTATTGTTTGGGTATTTGCATGGGACCGAACTACCCTTTTTGGAGCCCAGTGCTGTTTTCTCTTCTTGTTAAATATTCCAAGTGGTTTTGAAATGTTCTATGACTGCTCTGTTTCTGCCCAGAAGCACTGGGGCTTTGTTGGACTCCTTTACAAAACCATGTCTCGACTTTGGGTTAAGGAAGAGACTGGAGCATGGGAGAGACGGAAGTTGCCTCTATTTTTTTTCGATCAAGTCTGGCGTTGATGTAATCGGGGAATTACTCAGGTCTCTACTACCCAGGCCAAACCAATGGGTACATTTTGGCGTGCCAAGCATGCTCAAAATGAAGACGTGGCAAAATATGCGTCCCTGGGCAAAAAATAACCTCAGCCAGATACATCAAAACTTAGCTTTCTCTGAGAGTGACTCTGGAGATTTAAGAGAATGAAGCCATTGGCCTCAGGCTGAGGGGTGTCTGGTTCTTCTGCTCCCCCCCCCCCCACATGACAATGTGAACAAGTCAGTTTCTCTGAGTCATCTCCTTGCCTGGTCTTCCTTTCCCATCTCTATGCAGATGGATACCGCCCCACCCCTCACCCCACCCATTTCCAGCTAGATGTTGCCTTCTCTGAGTTCCAGAACCTTCTTCTCACATTCAGCCTTCCGGTTTCCACTGTCAAGTCTCACACTCTTTTCTGAGACTGACTCTTGTGCTCATAGCACCTTAGTCTTTTCTGCCTAACACTTGCAGCTATTTATAATTGTGGGTGCATTTCTGTGTTTACAGACTGTAAATTTCACGATGGCCAAGAAGACATCTGTTTAGGTTTTCATGCCACACCTAGTGCTAATCTCAATAACTGGAGCAGGGTGAGAAGTCAACAAATATTTGTAGAGTGGAAGAATGAACAAATCCATTGAGCCAGTCAGTTAAGGAACAATTCTCTCTGGGGTGGTCAACACTACCTCAAAACTAAAACCATCCTTTTTCCTCCCAGTCTCTAAGAATGGTGTCACTATCAACCTGGTCACCCCAGTCAAAAAACTGGCTCCCTCCAGCAGCCACCTCGTCAATGGTCTTATTGACGCTATTTCTGTGACATCTCTCATTTCTCTATTCATTTCTCTCCACATAGTTGCTACCACTACTTTCTTCCACTACTGCGTAGATTTCTAAATGGTCTCCCTGGGCCTCCCTGGTGGTGCAGGGGTTAAAGTCTCAGCGCTATCAAGGTATCTCCAGTCACTGTGTCATGAGTGGCATGAGTTCGATCCCCGGCTAGGAAGCTGACCCACACAGTGCAGCAGACCTCTCCTGTCTCACCCCCTCAGCAGTGTATTTCAGTAGCACATCTGCCTGTTCTGCTCTCTGCTCTGTCTCTGGTGAATTCTCTCATCCCCCGCACCCCACACCTCTGGCTTACACCTCAGTTCTTACATGCATAAATAAATAAATAAATTTTTAAATGGTCTCCCTGGATATGAAACTTAATATCCTCTGACAAGCTCCATACTCCTCATGGTCACCAGATTGAAACTTCTAAAATATCAGTCTCATCACATGTTATATTCCTTGCTCCCGCTCAACACAGTTGCTTGACCCTCTGTTACATCTTCTATTGTACGGTTTCCATCTTCCCTTCTGGAATCTATTTCAGGATTCACATGGAATTGGAGTGACTGTACATCTAGGGAAACCATCTAGCATTCCAGATTTTAAGAGGCAAGAGCTGTAAGGAAGAGCAAAAAGAAAATGTCCCAAAATTTGTTGGCATCATTTGCCTTCTTCTTTCTACTCCTCCTTGGTTGAATTTTCAGGAATCAGCACTAAACACAAAGTAGACCTTGTCATTTTTTACTTCTGTTTGGTCCTCAGGAAAGAATATGGATTTGGGAGTCAGCTTGACCTTTGATTTGGGTCCCACTTCTATTTCTGTATGCCTGAGACCTTCAGCAAGTCATTTCACCTTTTTGAACCTCTTCTCCTCGACTGCACAATGAAAACAAGACCAGACTTGTGGGGGGTTGTGTGAGCAATGAATTAATATTGGAGTTAAAACATCCAGTGCCAACTTGGCACAAAGGGAGCTTCTACCCTCTACCCCCAAAAGTAGCTTATCTTTGGAGGGTGACTCTAAAATACTATTTTCATCACCCCTACAGAAACCTGTGTGTGATTCCTTCTAAATAGAAAGCTACTTCTCCCTATTCCCTGATGGAACAGACACTGGTTGTCTAGCATCTGAAAAGACACATGGGAAGGCTTCAGAGGAGAGAGGGACTCTGTTTCAGTCAAGTGTTTACAACCCCATACCAAAACCTCCAAACAAGAAATTTCTAGTGGGACATAGGAGTCTAAATTGGAGATGTCTCTCTCTCTCTCTATCTTCTCCTATCTTCCCCCATCTCCAAATCAGACAACACTTCCTTGAATCTTCAGCTCTATTCTGGCAAAGTCATGTAGGACCATGGTGCTTATATGGTTTCCCACTTGACTAAGCTCATCAAGGATAGGGGTGGAATATTATTTGCTTTAGTCTGTACCCAGCAGAAAGCCTGGGAAATAGTTGTCAACTGAAATATAGAGTGTTTCATATCAAAAGAGACTTTCTTGGCTGACGTGCTTGGAAGCAAGCCTGCATGCACCATATTACTCTTTTATGTGGGCACAACTTTAGAGTTGCTACGTTTGTTTTGGACAGTTTCATTTTTCATTGTGGGATTTGGGAGAAGCTCAGTGCCAGTGTGGAATTTCTATAGTTTAAGTTTTCCCAGAACTTTGGGGAGAATTTTTTGTGCTTCTGAAATCTTTCATGTACCTTTAGATTTTTATTTTTTAAAAACTCAGATAAATTGAATAAGATTAATGATTATTTACCAATGTTCATTTTCCAAATGGTAATGATAAGTGTAAACACTTTTATGTAGATAGAAGGAATTATATGAGGCAGCTCTTTTAAAATGAAATCATCTTAAGTCTATAACAACATTTTCCTCCCCTATATCATTACTGGAACTATCAGTGATTCTAGATGTGTTTGGCCATAGATGATTTCAGTAATTTATTACCATCCAGTGAAAAAATAGTTGGATAAATAGGAGTATTTTGTTGCCTGAGGTAGATGTGAAGGTCAGAGAGTAGCAGTGATTGGCTTCACCCAGAAGACTAGACAATTAGATAGCCTACTCTCCCCCAGTCTTACTGAGAAAAACAGAATTTATATGTAGGTAGTGGCATCTCTAGTCCTTTGTGCAAGCAGAGCTGTACAAATAGATGTAACAGACTATCAGGGGAATCTAAATCACAAACAATAAGGTCCAATTATCAATTGCCAACTGTTTGAGGAAAACTAATGGGAAAAACAAAACAATCTTAAGAATGAAAGAATTTACACTTGAAGAAACAGAGTTAATAATGCAGACTTAGCAAACATGCAAAATTTCCAGCATGTTAGTTCTTACTCCTCCTTATCTTCCCATTTGAGTGGAGGAATCTTTGATATAGTCAGCACTACTAGGAGTAATCTTAGTTGCAAAATTTGAAACTATTAAGGACTACTTACAGTAGAGAGAAAAATTCTGGGAGACCCAGTTGAGGCAGAGTGTTATCAAATGGGGATTTGGCCCTGAGTTATTATTTAAGTCTGTTCCCCATAGAAAATTGATAAAAATTGCAGTATAAACTGTGTTACTAAACAACATTGTTTATGGTAAAAAAAAAATAAATAACCCTAGATTGCTAGATTCCTTCTGGCCTGGTAGTACCATAAATACTTCATAAAGATCCAGAGTTTTGGGTTTCCCTATATTCATTGACTCTTGTAATGGACCATGTCCCAAACAGGACATGGAAGCTATACTTGGAACAGGACTTGGAAGCTGTATCTATGGAGTTGTTATAAGAGATATTGAGGTTCATAAACCAGCAGGTTCCTACAACCATCCAAGGGTGTCTTCACCTAAGTGTTATCTGGGCAGTAGACAGCACTGGTGATTCTGAGGAAGCAGGTGAAGAGACCAGCCCCATGTCTGTCACCTGAGCTCTCCCTCCACAGAGGCACAAGGATTCCTAAAGGAGCATAATGAGCACTTGATGAACACCTACTGTGTGCCGTGTACTGAGTGAAGACTTACCGAGTTTAGTTTAATTCTTAACATCAACCGTGTGAGGTAGGAATGCCTTCATCTACAGATGAGATGATTCAATTAAGTCTTTAATTGCTACTCAGTAGGAAAATACTATTTAGAAGCTTTTAAGGTAGTGCTAAGACCGTCATAGTACATTAATTATATCTCTAGGTATTTTTCACTCCAGAGCCAAATGCCTGAGTTAATATCTTGGTTCTAACATTTATTAGCTGTGTGGCCTTCAATGGGTTACTTAACCATACTGAACCCCCAATTCCTTATTTATAAAAATGGGAGATAATCATGGACTCATGTCAGAGGCCATTATGATGCTTGTGTGTGTGTGTGTGTGTATAATGTGTGTGTGTAGTATGATATATATATATATATATCAGTATTGATAGATGTGTATATATATATATCAATCTATACATACACAGCACTTAAGACCTAGCACACATTAGACTCTTTATAGACGACGTCCATTATCATTCTCACTGTCATGGTGCTTATTACCTGAATGTATTGTACCTCTCCATGCATTGGAACCACCGAAGATCTTACTAAAATGTAGATTCTATTCATCAGGTCTGGGGTGGGAACTGAGAGTCTTCATTTCTAACAAGCTCCCAGGTGAGGCTGATGCTGCAGGTCCTGGGACCACACCGTGAATAACTACATATTGTAGATTAGTAGGTTTGTAATTTATTTATAAATAAATTACAAATTAATTTGTAATTTATTTCCCCAACCTACTCTAACTCACATTTTTAAGTCACATATATGCAAGAAATAAGTTCTGCATGAGGATTATTGTCTCTCTGGGAAAGCTCAGCACATAAGAGGTGCCCGATAAATGCTCCCTCAGCTTGGGGGGTTGCCTTGAGCCTTGCAGGGTCTGTACACCCCTTGCCTCATGACAGGTGAACCTCTCTGCAAAAGGAATGTATTCTGGGGTCAGCTGCGGCCATCAGGCAGGACTCTCAGACTTTGGAGCAGTAGCGGCCAAGGGAAGATGCTGGGCATTCAAATATATGGTCATCTGCAGCCTAACGAGGTGGCCAGCTCCTGCAGCATGGCTCAGGGATAGCAAATTAGTGACAAGGGTGCCAGAGAAAGGTGAGGCCAGATTTGACAGGTGTCTGCCGGGGAAAGGCATGAGGGCATATGGGAAACCTCACCAGCTGTTAAACACCTCCAGCCTCCAGGGCTTGTCAAATAGCTTGGTGTCACCCAGGAGTTTTTTCCCAGCCAAGGGGGAGAGATTGCTCTTGACCACAGGTGACAAGCTGAGGGGTTCAAGTTGAAGGGCAGCTCTCTCTCCCAACAGGCAGAGTTAAACTGCTCAAATGGGGCCTCCCTTGAGCACAGCACTGTGAAGCTGTCTGCAGCCTCTGCGGTACGGGTTCAATCCCAGCCAGTCGGTGAGATACCCACATGGTGAGGCAGACCTCTTCTGCCTCACCCGCTGCTCCCCTCAGCAGTGTATTTCAGTCTGTCTTCCTGTTCTGTTCCCTGCTCTGTCTCTGGTGAATCCTCTCACCCTCCCTTGCATCTGGCCTGTACCCTGGATCTTGTATAAATAAATGTCTTTAAAAATAAAAAACCGCTCAAAGGCATATACTGCACTTGCTCATTTCAAAACCCAGGTCTTTTCTGAGCCTCAGTTAACTGGCTGCTCTAGCAGTTTGCCTTGCTTTAACACCAGCTTTTGATGTTATGGGAAAAGGAAAGAAAACCTTACCTTTGTGACGCAAACACGAAGGAAATAGCTCTGCACTGTCTGAAGCGGTAACCACAAGCCACGTGAAGCTGCTTCAATTTAAAAGAATTAAAATTAAATAAAACTAAAGCTTCCATTCCTCACCACCACTAGTGTCATTCCAAAGGCTCCATAGCTACATGTGGCTAATGATGCCTGTTTGGGACAACGCAAATAAAGGACACTTGCATCATTACAGAAACTTCCTTTGAGTTCAATGCAGGTGGCATCCCCCTTTTAGCAAAATTGCCCATGAAATGTAGCACTGCCAGGGGGACAAGGTAAAGAGTAACTGTAGAGACCAGGGAAATGCTCACCTGCCAGAGTGTATTTCATGTTCCTGTGTTTTGATCACCTGACAGCTGAGTTCTTTGAAGCAATCATCTTCACCAGCACCGAGATTGTTGTTATGACATAGTAGGCTCTTTTCTAAGTGCATCAGCTCGTTGCGTCCTTGCAAAGTTTTTTTTTTAAGATTTATTTTACCCATTTGTGCATACAAGAACTGGGGGTAGGCCAGAGGTGCAAGGAGTAAGAGGATTCACCAGAGACAGTGGAGAGCAGAACAGGCAGATCTACTGAAATACACTGCTGAGGGGAGCAACGGGCAAGACAGGAGAGATCTGCTACACCATGCGGGTCAGCTCCTTGGCCGGGGATTGAACTCATGCTGCAGTGGCTGGCGATAGCTTGATAGCTCTGAGACTTCATCCCCTGTGCCACCCAGGAGGCCCCACACAGGGATCTTATGGGTGTATTAGCACCATCTTCCACTATTGCTGCTTCTATCTTCTGATGAGCAACTTCAGGCTCAGAGAGATTGTGTAGCTTGTCCAGGTAACACAGCAAGGCAAAGGCAGGAGTCCAGGTCCCCCATTCTCTACCTTGTACCATGTCCTGGGGATAGGGATGATGCCTAGCATGAGGGAGAGGACACAGGATTCCAGGTTAAAGGCCTGGAAATCTCCACCCAGGAACATTCTTGCTTTAAAATTCTCCTTCCACCTCTTTTTCCTTCTAGTATTTCCTTTGAATGGGGCTTCTATAAATATTACTAATATAAATGGGATCATCATCATCCAGTCACTTCATCTGATTAGACAACAGTTAAAAACCTTTAAGAGACCTATTTACCCCCCAAGGACAGATTGCCGTGGTGACAACATACACCCTGCTGCTGGAATCTTCACCTCAGTGCTACTTGAGCTGTTTGTTTTATTTTTAAAACGTTTTGGTTATTTATTTTATTTTGAACTTTCTGTTAGCTGTTGATTCTTTATTCATTTACTTGGTGAACAAGCACTGAGTGTCCGTTCTAAGCATGATGATCAAAAGAGTTAGGGATTCTCGAATTCCTGTCTGTGCCCGGCACCGTTATCAGTATTTCACATGAACTCACTTATGGATCCCTCATGATAATCTCAGGAGGCAGGCATAGTCCTGACACCCCCATATTATAGATAGGGACAGTGAGGCAGCAGTGAGGATAAGTAACCTGCCCAAGGTCGCAGGTATCAGAAGTGGTCCTGTGTTGGGGTGGTGAGGTGGCAGGGCAGGGAACCCCATAGCTCCCAAGCTGTGTAGCTCATTGACATCAAGGAAAGAAAGTGCAAAATGTCTGATAGGGGTGCAGATAAACTGCCAGAGGGGATCAGGGTAGGGTTTTGTGTCAGACTTTGGAAGATGGAGAAGGTGGGGCATTCCAGATGGAAGGAACTGCTGGTGAAATCTCCAAGGGCAGATATCTCAAGATACATGGGGAGCCAGACCCTGTCCACCAGCTGAGTTGGACTAGAGTGAGGCCAGGCTTACCTTCAACTGGTTGGCAGAGGTGCAGTTATTTAAAAGCTGAAACGCTTCTCTCTAGGTTGGTAAAGAGCCACTGCCTCCACTCTCCACTCTATGTCCCTGCTTTCCAGCAATTGCTCTAGGTATCTGACCCCACAGGAGACTGTCTACATCAAGATTATGGGCCTTGAAGATGCCAGGGCCTAACCAGTATTTACAATACCATCGCTGAGTTGGAAATGTGGGAGAAAATGCTGTCCAACAGGTGCTGTTGGTGGGGGTAGGATTGAAGTTTCAGATATAGGGATAGGTATAATCAAAATTCAGATCCCCAATTGTCCTTCAAGACTCAGCTGCATCCTCATCTCTGCTGTGAGGTCTTTGCTGCCTCAGCCTTGCCCCCAGCAGGAGAGGCCTCCTCCCTTCTCCATGGGGCCCTCTGCGAATAATTACAACAACCCTTGAATGCCAACATGCCCCAGGCCCTGTGACGGGTACTTCCCCAGATTGCCCCATGTAAGCTCAAAATCACCTTCTGAGAAACTGTCATTCTACCTGTTTTGCAGAACAGGAGCGTGAGACTTAGAGGACTTGCTCAGGGCCACAGAGTTAAGCTAGTGAATGACTGGGCCCAAGCGCTGTGATTCCACAGCCTGCATCCTCTTGACAGCCCCCTGTGGGGCCCCAGTCGCTGCTATGATGTCATTTGCTTCTTTGTCTGTCTCTGGGGCCAGACTTTGAGCTTTGATCATTTCTTTCGCTCTCTGGCCGCCAGCCAGGACCTGGCAGCGTGGATGACAGCAGGGAGGTTGGAGTAAGGACCAGTGAGAAGGTTCCTGCAGGAACCCCAGAGAGAGAGAGAACAGGCCCAAGGTTTGATCAAGTGCCGTTCTCTCTTTCCCTCAGAGACAGATGTCACCAGCTGGCTTGGTCCCTTTGCCTGATGTTTCATAGGGAAGTTACATTCAGCTGCTTGGATTTTTTGGTTCTTTTTCATTCGCCTGAAACTGGCAGCCCTTTGCATGCCCTGTATCTGGGGCCTCGGGCACTGTGTATGAATGCTCTGAACATTCATTTTCTGAAAAGAACATTAGTGAAAATTAGCCCTTGAAGCTACCCAGTGCAAACTGAGGGCTGGCCCAGCCTGGGACCACTGTCAGAGCCCAGCCTGCTTTCAAACCATTGTCTCCTGTGCCAAGTTTCTGCTTTTATTTTTTTTAATCATTTCGGAAATAGTGATATTGACCGCTGCTGGCACATGGCTGGGTTTCACATGTTATGAGAAGTATCCCAGGCAGCAGATCTGGGCCCTGGCCCAGGACACACAGCACCTGAGTTTATTTTATATTCTTCAATATCTGACTTCCTAGAGAAAGCCTCTGCATGTCTACAGCTTGCCCAGACCACAGCTCCCTCCCTTTTTACTGATTTTATCACATTCTCCTTCCGTTCTGCTCTCCTCCTGGACTGCATGTTTTTGCAACTACAGTAAAAGGTGCTATAAATTCAAATTTTTATATTATCATAGTTTTTTTTACTCAAAAACCCTACATGCTCTTTTTTAAATTCTGGCAAATGCAGAAAAATATAAGAAAATTAAAATTATCTACAATTGTGCCCTTGAGAAGTACCAAAAGGATTATTTAGTGTATTTTCTAGCCTTCATTTATTACAAAGAATGAGATTTTTAAAAAATCCTGGTACTGTGTATATATAATTTTATAGCTTTTTTAATTTCACTTAATAGTATGCCATAGCATTTTCTCGGTCCTGCAACAGAACATACATAAACATCATTTTTAATGACTGCAAAATATTCCATCTTATGAATGCACCATCATTTGCCTAACAGTTCCCAGGTTGTTGGTCTTTTGGGTTGTTTCCAACTTGTGATTGTTCTCATAAAACTACCCAGAGAAGCATGACAAAAACATCAAAAAGACTATCTGCTTGGAGGAGAGCAACTGGGGGTTCATTCATGATGCTCCTGATGGTCTGTGTGATGGAGAAATTGCAGAAGGCAGGGAGCAAAAGGCAGGCAAGCCCACCCTGCCCAACCTGTGCCGGTCCCCCCAGGACTGGCACCCAGCTGGCCTGCAAGACCTCTGGCCACTGTCATGACCAAAATCTCTCTAGTGAGCAGTTGCTAGTTTCCAGGGTCCACCCCCCACCACACCCCCACAAGCAGTCACCCCAGATTTTGGAGGTGAGACCAGCCAGGGTTGCTTTTCACAGTTTACAAGACTGACTCCAGAGAAGGCGTGATTTTTGTCCAAAATTGTGCCATGAGCAGCCAAATTGAAACCAGAAGTCTGCTCTCCAGGTCCCTGGAAATCTCCCCCCTCCTTCCTATGCTGCTTCTACGTGGAGAGGAGCCTTCCAGCACCATCAAGAAATGGGTGTTGAGCTGTCTGGTGTAGAGGTTCATTGGATCTGTGCTTGGCCACGTCTGTAGATCGAGTCGCCACAATCCCAGGAGTTGCTTGCTTGCTTGGCTATTGTGTGTGCCATCCAAATTCCAGAATGTGTTGTTTGGCATATATAATTGCCATGAAGCTTCCTTGGGTCTCTCAAATCTATATGAGGAATTCTGTCAAGATTCAAATAGTCGGTGTAGGCCTATTCAAGAATTGAGGCTCAATTGCTGGTAAAGGTGGTGGATATTTCCCCAAGCTTCTGTTTCCCCTCAATAGTTCAAATTCCAAGGCTGTTGCAAGCCCCTCTAGCAACCTTTAGGCTCCTGTTCTCTGCTAGTTACTATACAGAATCGCCCTCACACAGCCACTCCCTATGGTAGCAGCAGCAGGGTGTGGAAAGAATATTCTGCAAATGAAAAAGGAAACCTGTTAAATAGGCAGAACCAAGAACCAGCTTGTTGATAACACTGCAGTCTCCCTTGCCTCCAAATCTTTCCCTAGAGGCACTGTCTCCTCAGACCCCCGAGCACCTTATAGGAGCATCTCATGGGGACTTTTCATGGCCAGCCTTGCATGGTGCTTATCTGTACTTCCTTCATAATGGCCGCTTAATGCTCACTCTGACAGTCACAAGTCAGGGTTGAACAAGTGTCCAAGGATAATTAAGGACAAACAGATTTATTGCAACTGGGGCTGCCCACACAAGAATCGGGGGCATATGGCCACACTACATGCCCTGGCTCAACTGAATATCAGGGTCCAGGTTTTAAATCCTTGTGCCCTCCACAAAACTCAGCACCAACCCCCAGCTCCAAGGAGTCAGTGAGCAGGGAACAAGTTAGGGGATTGGCCTGTCCTATAAATGATCCCCTACACATGCACCTGCTCTCTCCCTGGCTCATCTTCTGCATTGACTCCCACCAGCTGCTCCAGTCCACGTAGTCCCCCAAATTGTTCTGCATTTCCTCATCTGAATTCCCTCCTGGATTCTTTTTCTGAGCCCTCCTCTCTCCCCTTTCCAGGTTCAAAGTGGTATTTCCCAACACATTCCCATGCCCTGTGACTCCGGCTGATTTTGATTCATTCTCCTTTTAGACTTTGGCATTCCTCTAACACACGGCTTTTCAGATCGCTTCCTTTCTTGTATATTTCACATCAGAGCTGAAGTCTGTCGGAGGCTGGGACCTTTCCAGTATCGCCAAATGTACAAGTTGGTACATAATAAGCATTATTCATTCATCCACTCAACAAATATTTATAGGCATCTATCAATACCATATGCCAGGCAAAATACCTGGCATCATGGAACTTATATTCCACTAGAGGAGACAGATAGGTAACAAATGCATAAATAGTAAAATATCAGATGCAGACAAGAAAAATAAAAACAGGTACTCAAACCAGGTGTAAGTGGCCACAGGTGCTGTGGTAGCAAGTGTCTTCAGGGAAGGTTTCTCTAAGGAGGTAGCATCTGTGTGCGAGGATCTAAAGGAAATCAGGCAGTAAGCTTGTACCTGAGAAAAGATCCTGCCAGGCAGGTAGAAGAGCAAGTGCAAAGGTCCTGGAACAGGAGTATTTTTGGCACATGCGTGGAACAGCAAGGAGACCAGTGAGGCCAGACCAGGATGAGTGCGCAGGGAGAATGATGGGAAATGTCTGGAGTGAGCAGGGTCAGATGTTGCAGAGCCTGTGAGGTGTGCAGAGAGGTTTGGTTCCTCTTCCATATGCGATAAGAAACCCAGTCAGTGTTTGTTAAATTGAATTATTTGAGTTGAGTTGAATTGAACTGACCTAAATAGGGTTTTATCAAACTGAACTGAATTGGGTCTCAACTTAGTGATATTGCATACAACTTTTGAACCTTGCAGTCTCCCAGTCTGCCTTTATTAACTGCAAATGGAAAAGCACTATGAACAGCCTCATTTAGCAATTTAAAACCTGTACATGTGTGTGTTTGCTGTTGTGGAACTGATGCAGATTTGCAGGTTGTTCGAAAAGCCTTTTTGCCAGTGACACTTCGCCAGTCCCTCACACACACATACAGGTTTCATTGCCATGGGCATATTGGATACCAGGAATATCTAAACTCCAGAGGAACAGGATCCTAAGGCAGGCCATTGTCTCTCTTTCATTTCTGACTTTCCCAGGATCTGAAGGCTTTGAAGGTCACTGGGATTTATTCTGGGCCCTTGGCCTGAGTCCTGGAAGTGACTTTTAACATAGTTTTTACCCAAGCCTGATTCTCATTGAGTCTTAATTATGTGGAATTCCTACCCTTCGTACAACTAAAAATAAACCACATTCAGCTATTTTTGTCATCTTACTTAGTCTCTGTCAAACCAGGCCAGTGATCCATCACTGGCTCGCAGAATAAAATAGAAAACCCACCAGAATTTAGGCGAGGCACATTCACAGGATTCAGTCTCTTCCTTGAGTCACTTAACGTTTTTTCATTCACTCAGAAAGTGTTGATTGAGGACCTAAGTCCCATAAGCCCCATACTAAGTGCTGGAGTTACAGCAGAGCGCAGGGTAAGTTCCTGCCTATGTGAAGCCAACAGTCATTTATGAACTGATCCTAACCCATGTGGTCATGCTTTCATGTGTCCACTCCAGCCTGTCCAGCACCATTGTGCTCCAGCCATACCCAGGAACACATGTGTTTGGAGAGGAGGGGACAAAACAAACCAGAATATTAAAATCAAACATTATCTTGAGGAGCAGCAAGTGCTGTATGTGCAAGTTTGGGGATACAAAGATGAGAATTCATGTCTCCATAGTTCTTGGGTAATGATCAGACATGCATTGTGACAATAATAGGGTAATTATGGTATTCGGGAATTATGTAAACAAATGATAAGGAGGGAGAGGGCACAAGTGACCATGTTGTGGGTTTGAGGGGATCTTGAGGCCTACTTCCCAGAGGAGGTGACATTTGATCGGTATCTTAAAAGATAAGTAGGAATTATCTGGATGGAGAGAGGGGAAAGACAGAGGATGGATAGAGAGAGGACACAGCAGCAGGAGCACAGGCAGTGAGATAAGCGCAAGCTCATGTGTTCCAGAAACGAGTGGCCACTGGGTATGGCTGGAGCACATTGGTGTGCTGGATGGGCTGGAGGGGGCACATGAGTGACCACATGGGTCAGGACTAGTTAATAAATGATCGGCCCAAAGACTTTACGCATTTCTCAGATGACCACAACTACATGTTAGCACATTCGTCCTGGTGACAATGTAAATG